ATTTAAACAAAGTTACTAAGCCTTGGTTGGAACATTCTCTGAGCAGAAGTAAATGCATAAAGGGATTAAAATAAATTCCTCAAGCACACAGCACGTTGCATCAAGCTAATGCAAAGAGGAGAGAAACTCAATGTTACTACTGAAGTTTAACTCGCTTGTTTGCATATCTTAGGCAAGTAGGGGTACAAAGTAGGAGACAAAAAGAGAAACACAAGTAAGATTTTAACAACTATTTCAGTCTTTATGTTATGTGGGACTATTTGCAAAAATGGCAGGGGCTATTCTGTTTTTTAAACAGTATTTCTGTAGTTTCCAATATAGTGGTCACAGCAATAGACTGCATTCAAAATGCAGTCTGCATTAGGCATTGCTGAAATTGCCTTCTAGAATGTAATTCTGGGGTATACCATGAAATATAGACCCATGCACAATGTGATTTTTGGTTTGTTCACACCTGAAGCCTAGAGGGGCTGAAGGCTATCTCTAACCCAAGCATAGAGGACTCCATAGCCTTTCATTGCACTACTGAGATGAAAAGGCTTTTCAGGGGTCTGCATACTCCTGAACAACCATGAACTACTTCTGTAGCTTAATAACCACACAACGTTAACTATAAAAACAAGTCTGCTGCAAGATTATATTTGTTTTGGAGAGCTGTGAATGTCCACAAGACCATTTTAGGCAACCACAAACTCAGAAGTGTTGAAAATAATTGTGTTGAAGGTCTAAGCGGATTTAAGTCTAAGGCATAAAATTAACTTGTGTTATTTAATACCCACCTAAATCCCCAAGTACCCCACATGAACTAAATAATTAACTGAAGGGTCAGCATTTTCAAACTTGTATCTTAAAGGCAGACATACAGCTCAGTTTGAAGTGAGAACTGAGAACCCGTAAATGCCCAACTTCAGCTAACTCCCCACTCAAGACGCGCCAATTCTTACCATTGCTTCAGAGATTAATGTACTAAATAACCATTTTTAAAGCATCATCTCACAGTGTGATTATATGAGATTCCCAACTTCCACAGCTGCAGATATGTGAAAGTCAGATTTTCATGAGCACCAGGTACTTAATTTCAAGTGATTCAAAAAGCAATACATGTTTTTTGAAGTCCTATTCTATGGTCAGGTGTACTCTAACTAGAAATTTCCTGTGATTTAAGGATGATAATGTGTTCCAGAATAAGCTTGTGAGAATAGAAGATGAAAGGCTAACAGAGACAAGCAGCATGACTAAAATATAAGCAAGATGGCTAAAATACAGTATTTAATTTGTGTATTTAATTCAGGAGCTCAAAGTAGATTGTAGGCACTCCAGCTCTCATTTTAATGGCCAAGAATTAGTGCTTATGTATACCTAATTTGAAACTTGATGCCCAGGTCAGAAGTCTGGGTCTCTGGCCGAGAATGTTAACTGCCAGTCTGAAAGATCTGTAATTCCCTACAAATGCATTCTCCAAAAATCAGACTTCTTAAAGAGACAGCATATTGGGACATCTGGCTTTTAAGGCATCTAAAATCACTGGTTCCCTGAAGATACGTTTTCTATGCTTGTCTCCATTGAGACATGCCATCCACTCATCTTAAAGTTAACAAAGTTATTGCACGTTTTATGAGTTTAGCTATGCCTTCGTATTTTAGGTTACCATAGCCACAACTGGTATTATGCACTGTCATCTTTGCCGTTTCATTGTAAGATGTTGATCAGCCACCTTTCCAAAGAGAAGGCACGCATCAGAAGATTTTAAGTCATCTTTAAGGACAACCGTTAAGAGTAAGAATGAAAGCAGCCTGCTTGTTTCTCTACAGCTGCAGCAAGTTCTGCTATCAATTCTGCTGAAGTCATGACCATGAATAATACTGGGACATTTTGGTTTCTTTATTATAGACAGAAAGAATATATACTGCAACCATGAATGACTAAGACTTTTTCTTCATCCAAAACCAGTAAAGAAATAGGAACTGCAAGTATTCCCTTGTTGCTGAACATGGTATATTTCTTTATTTTTTTAAACTTAAGCAAATTTTACTGAGAAAAAAAATACTAATCTTTGCATTGTTTTAAATAACTGACATACAAATGTTAAAGAATAAAATTAGAGGAGGAAAAAACAACTAATATTACTTTGCAGATGCATACAGATGAGTAAGTACACCATGAAACATACATTTGCTATTTTCTGTGCTCGTTCACCATATAGAAGCATTTCAGAAAGTCCTATTCACAGCCTTTAATTCTAGACTTTAATTGCATCATGTGATACCCTAGCCAGCCTAGATATCCTGTTGCAGAATTTGATATTGCTGGTTTGTCTTTGTAAACCAAGAACAAGCTAAACTGAATGATGCTAACAAGCACTGGTAATAAAGCTTTTATTTGATCTCCTTAGAAACGTTGTGTGTACATCATAGAAGTGTTTGCATACATGATGATGAAAATACTTACACTGCTGTGTAGTCCATGGCTAAATAACTCAGAATCAGAGTCACAGAATACTTAAGTTTGGAAAGGACCTCTGGAGATCGCCAACACTGCTGCTCAAAGCAGGGTCAACTAGATCAGGTTGCCCAGGGCTGTGTCCAGTCAAATTTTGATTATCTCCATTGACGTAGACTCTACAATCTCTCTGGAAAACCTATTCCAGCATTTGATCACCCTCACAGTGAAAAAGCTTTTTATGTTTAGATGGAATTTCTTGTATTTTAGTTTGTGCCCACTGCTTCTTGTCCTGTCACTGGACACCGGTGAGAACAGTCCGATTCCCACTTCTTTATTTCCCACCTCAAACACTGCCCCCCCATCAGGTATTTATACACATTGAAGAGAACCTCCCTGAGCCTTGTATTCTCCAGGCTAGACAATTCCAGCTTCCTTAGCCCCTCCTCACATGATAGATGCCCCAGTCTTTTAATCATCACTGTGGCCCTTCACTGGGCCCACTTCAGTATGTCCATGTGTCCCTTGTAGTGGGGAGCCCAGAACAGGATACAGCACTCCAGAAGTGACCACACCTGTATTGAACAGAAGGGAATAATCACCTTCCTCAATCTGTTGGATGCTGGTGACCTTCTTTTCTTCAGGTGCACATTGCTGGCGTATGTTCAACTTGGTGTCTACCAGGACCCCTATGTCTTTTTCTGCCAAGCTGTTTCCCAGCCAGATGGCCTCCAGCTGGTATGGGTGCATGTCGTAACTGCTTCCCAGGTGCAGGACTTTGCATTTCCCTTTGTTGAACTTCATGAGGTTCTGTTGGCCCATTTCTTCAGCCTGCCAAGATCCTCTGAATAACAACAGAACCATCTCATGTATCAGCCACTCCTCCAAATTTAGGGTACACTCTGTCTCACTGCCTCTGTCAATAGTGAAGATGGTAAACAGTACTGGTCCCAGGATTGACCATTGGGGTACACCACTAGTGACTGGCCTTCAGCTGGATTTTGAGCCTCTGATCACAACCCTTTCGGCCCAGCAATTCAGGCAATTTTCAATCCATCTCACTGTCTACTTATCCAGTCCTTACTTGCTCAATTGGTCTGTGAGGATGTTATGTGAGACAGTGTTGAAAGCCTTGTTAAAATCAAAATAAACAATATTCAGCGCTCTGAATGCCTCAGATTACCATGATGTTTCAAAGATGAACAAGAGTGTCCTCCAATGATATGGGCCAGTTCCCTCAGCTCTTGTCAGCGCATCCCCATCAGATGCCATGCACGTGTATATGTCCCATTTGTTGAAATATCTGCTAACTTGATCCTCCTCTGCCAAGGGTAAGTCTTCACTGCTCCAGACTTTCCCATAGGTCTCAGGGGCCTGGGATTCTTGAGGGCAAATCTTTAGCTGTAAACTGAGGTGAAAACAATGTTGTGTAACTTAGCCTTTTCCACGTTTTGTGTCACCATGTCACTGCAGTAGTGAGCCCTGCTTTCCCCCATCTGCCTTTTGCTGCTGATATATCCGTAGAAGCCTTTCTTCTTTTCCTTCGTGTCCCACACCAGATTCAACTCCGTCATTGGCTTTACTGACACCATTCCTGCACACTTGGGCAGCGTCTCTATCATCCACCTGGGTCACTTGATCCTGCTTCCACCTCCTGGTGTATTAGTTATTTATATAATTTGAACAAACCACCTTTCAAATGGTGAAGAACAGATTTCCTTTAGAGAGTTGATCACACCACCTATCAAAGCTGAGCTGTTGTGCAGACAAGATGCCAAGAAGTGAGTCAAGACACACAGCAGACAAGAGTGAGCCTAAGTTGACCTAAGGGATAAGCATGCTTGACTGGCAAGGGGAAGTGCTGGGCTTCTACAGCACCAAATTCAAGCACACCGCATGAGCTGAAGAGAAATTCAGAGGTAGAAAGGGAAGAGAGTAGGTGGTATATCCTGTGGAGTAACACTGAAATCAGATATCTCATCACAAGGGTGAAATGGCACAAATGGAGGATCTCATATATTATCAGAACTGACACTGGATTTCTGTTTCACTAGAATATGTTACTACTCAGAGAGGCCTATTAGCTGACAGACTAACAGGGTTGGAAGGCATTAAAGAAGCACAAAATATTCCAACAGAGAGGGAAAAGGAGAATCTATGACATCAGAATGAGCTGCATAATACTAAAAATGAGAGGAGCAAATTAAAAGGCCTGAAAAAAACACTTAAACCAGCTGGTTACCAAGGAGGGAAAAAAGAGAACTGGATATGTTTTTAAATAAAAATGTGTAAGACAATTCTCAGTCAGTATCAAGTGACACAATTCCATTAATATCAGTCACTTAAAATGTTTATTACATAAACTAAGTTCACTGCTTTGAATTGATGCTGTAGGCTCACAGAAAGGAACACACACCTTAACTGAAGTTTTACCTGCACAAGGGCTGCAGGGTCAGACCTCATTTTTTTTAAGCAAGTGTTTAATTTTCTAACCACAGGTTTCTCTTTCTGGATTCTAACTCTTACAATACTGTCCCTACTCCCCTACAACAACTGCTTACCTTCTTTAACTCTTCCTGAATACTTCTACCATTTTCCTCTGAGGACAAACTCTCCTTCTGGTTTTCAGCGTCTGTTCTAGGTTCTGAGTCTTGTTCTTCACCAGAAGATGTTTCCTTGTCACTCATTTTAGCAGCAAGCTGAAATAACCTGGATTTAAGCTCCTCCTCCATAAGGTCAGGCTTGATATTATGATGCTGATCCTCACTGCTTACATCTGTTTCTGATAAATCATCAAAATCCTACAAAGAAATTAGAAGAATGGTATAATTACTGTATAGGCACAGAAAGAAAAACAAACAGCTTCCTCGAAAAGTATAGGTATGATCACTCTGCAGGGGAAGCTATAGAAAGCAAGCACACTAAGTGTGCTGATAAAAAAATACCATGTCTTTACAGAGGAATGTCAGTAAACCCACACTTGCATTATATTTATCATTCCT